TATAGAAAAATATAGAAAAATATGAAAAATATAGAAAATATAGAAAAATATAGAAAAATATAGAAAAATATAGAAAATATAGAAAATGCAGAAAATATGAAAATATAGAAAAATATAGAAAAATACAGAAAATACAGAAAAATACAGAAAAATATAGAAAAATATAGAAAAATATAGAAAATACAGAAAAAATATAGAAAAATATAGAAAATACAGAAAAATATAGAAAAATATAGAAAAATATAGAAAAATACAGAAAAATATAGAAAAATATAGAAAAATACAGAAAATACAGAAAAATATAGAAAATATAGAAAAATATAGAAAATAAGAAAAATAGAAAAAATATAAAAAATATAGAAAAATATAGAAAATACAGAAAAATATAGAAAATACAGAAAAAATATAGAAAATATAGAAAAGTGAAAAATATGAAAATAAGAAAATAGAAAATATAGAAAAATATAGAAAATAAGAAAAATATAGAAAAATACAGAAAAATATAGAAAAATATATAGAAAAATATGAAAAATATAGAAAAATATAGAAAAATACAGAAAAATATAGAAAATACAGAAAAATAAGAAAAATATGAAAAATATAGAAAAGTACAGAAAAATATAGAAAATAGAAAATACAGAAAATATAGAAAAATAAGAAAATACAGAAAAATACAAGAAAATATAGAAAAATATAGAAAAATACAGAAAAATATAGAAAAATACAGAAAAATACAGAAAAATATAGAAAAATATGAAAAATATAGAAAAATATAGAAAAATATAGAAAAATAAGAAAAATATAGAAAATACAGAAAAATATAGAAAATACAGAAAAAATATAGAAAAATACAGAAAAATACAGAAAATATAGAAAAATATAGAAAGTACAGAAAAATATAGAAAAATATAGAAAAATACAGAAAAATATAGAAAAATACAGAAAAAATACAGAAAATATAAGAAAAATATAGAAAATTACAGAAAATATAGAAAAATACAAGAAAATACAGAAAATATAGAAAAATATAGAAAATATAGAAAAATACAGAAAATATAGAAAAATATAGAAAAATACAGAAAAATATAGAAAAAATATAGAAAAATATAGAAAAATATAGAAAAATATAGAAAAATACAGAAAATACAGAAAAATATAGAAAAAATATAGAAAAGTACAGAAAAATACAGAAAAATATAAAGAAAAATATAGAAAAATATAGAAAAATACAGAAAAATAAAGAAAATATAGAAAAATATAGAAAAATATAGAAAAATATAGAAAAATATAGAAAAGTACAGAAAAATATAAGAAAATATAGAAAAATACAGAAAAATTATAAAAATAAGAAAATAAAAAATAGAAAAATAAGAAAATATAGAAAAATATAGAAAAATACAGAAAAATATAGAAAAATATAGAAAATACAGAAAATACAGAAAAATATAGAAAAATACAGAAAATACAGAAAAATATAGAAAAATACAGAAAAATATGAAAAATACAGAAAAATATAGAAAAATATAGAAAAATATAGAAAAGTACAGAAAATATAGAAAAATACAGAAAAATACAGAAAAATATAGAAAAATATAGAAAAATATAGAAAAATACAGAAAATATAGAAAAAATATAGAAAAATATAGAAAAGGTTAGAAAAATATAAAAATATAGAAAATACAGAAAAAATATGGAAAATATAGAAAAATATAGAAAAGTACAGAAAATATAGAAAATACAGAAAATATAGAAAAATACAGAAAATACAGAAAAAATATAGAAAAAATATAGAAAAAATAAGAAAAATATAGAAAATACAGAAAATATAGAAAAATATAGAAAATACAGAAAAATACAGAAAATACAGAAAATATAGAAAAATACAGAAAATATAGAAAATACAGAAAAATACAGAAAATATAGAAAAATATAGAAAAGAGAAAATACAGAAAAATATATAGAAAATATAGAAAAATATAGAAAAGTATAGAAAATATAGAAAAATATAGAAAAATATAGAAAATACAGGTAAATACAGAAAAATATAGAAAATATAGAAAAGTCAGAAAAATATAGAAAATAGAAAATAAAGAAAAATATAGAAAATAGAAAAAAAAAATACAGAAAATACAGAAAAATATAGAAAATAGAAAAATATAGAAAAATATAGAAAAAATATACAGAAAATATAGAAAATATAGAAAATATAGAAAAATATAGAAAATATAGAAAATATAGAAAATAGAAAAATACAGAAAAAATATAGAAAAATACAGAAAAATATAGAAAAAATATAGAAAAATATAGAAAAATATAGAAAAAATATAGAAAATACAGAAAATATAGAAAAATATAAAATAGAAAATATAGAAAAAATAAGAAAAATATAGAAAATATAGAAAATAGAAAAAGTAAAAATATAGAAAAAATTCAGAAAAATACAGAAAAATATAGAAAAATACAGAAAATAAGAAAAATAAGAAAAAATACAGAAAAAATATAGAAAAAATACAGAAAAATATAGAAAAATAGAAAAAATATAGAAAAATACAAAAATATAGAAAATAGAAAATATAGAAAAATATAGAAAAGTAAGAAAATAGAAAAATATAGAAAAATATAGAAAAAATATAGAAAAATACAGAAAAATATAGAAAAATATAGAAAAATACAGAAAAATATAGAAAAATATAGAAAAATAGAAAAGTACAGAAAAATATAGAAAATATAAAAATATACAGAAAAATATAGAAAAGTACAGAAAATATAGAAAATATAGAAAAATACAGAAAAATATATAGAAAATATAGAAAAAATATAGAAAAATATAGAAAAAATATAGAAAAATAAGAAAATACAGAAAATATAAAATACAGAAAATGCAGAAAAATATAGAAAAATAAGAAAAATATAAAAAATAAGAAAAATATAGAAAAATATAGAAAAAATATAGAAAAAATATAGAAAAAATACAGAAAAATATAGAAAAATATAAAAATACAGAAAATATAGAAAAATAAAAGTACAGAAAAATATAGAAAAATATAGAAAGTACAGAAAATATAGAAAAAATATAGAAAAATATAGAAAAAAAATAGTAGAAAAAATACAGAAAATACAGAAAAATACAGAAAATACAGAAAAATACAGAAATATAGAAAGTAATATTGAAAAATATAGAAAAAATACAGAAAAAAAATAGAAAAATATAGAAAATATAGAAAAGTACAGAAAAATATAGAAAAATACAGAAAAATATAGAAAAATATAGAAAAATATAGAAAAAATACAGAAAATACAGAAAAATACAGAAAAATATAGAAAAATACAGAAAATATAGAAAATACAGAAAAAATATATAGAAAAATATAGAAAAATATAGAAAAAATATAGAAAAGTACAGAAAATATAGAAAAATACAGAAAATATAGAAAAATACAGAAAAATACAGAAAATATAGAAAAATACAGAAAAATATAGAAAAATACAGAAAAAATATAGAAAAATATAGAAAATATAGAAAAATATGAAAAATATAGAAAAGTACAGAAAAATATAGAAAAAAGAAAAATACAGAAAATAAGAAAATATAGAAAAATACAGAAAAATATAGAAAAATACAGAAAATATAGAAAATATAGAAAAATATAGAAAAATATAGAAAAGTACAGAAAATATAGAAAAAATATAAAAATATAGAAAAGTACAGAAAAATATAGAAAAATACAGAAAATATAGAAAAATACAGAAAAATACAGAAAATATGAAAATATAGAAAAATATAGAAAATATAGAAAAATACAGTTATAGAAAAGTACAGAAAAATATAGAAAAATACAGAAAAATACAGAAAATACAGAAAAAATATAGAAAAGTACAGAAAAATATAGAAAAGTACAGAAAATATAGAAAATATAGAAAAATACAGAAAAATATAGAAAAATACAGAAAATATAGAAAGTACAGAAAATATAGAAAAATACAGAAAAATATAGAAAATAAATAATAATTCAGAAAATACAGAAAAAAATACAGAATTGCTCATTTCTTTTTGTAGTTGTTAGAGGTGATTCAACTACCAGGGTCGTTAAAGCATCGTTTACTAGGTCTTTTGGTACGACCCCCCTTGAGAGTACGACTTACAGAGTACGACTACATGACATACAGACAGACAGACACCAGATAGACACAGACACACAGACAGACAGACACAGACAGACAGACAGACAGATAGATAGACATACAGACGGTAGACACAGACAGACAGACAGACGAGTAAACAGATGACAGACAGACAGACAGATAGATATACAGACAGACAGACACAGACAGACAGACAGACAGACGAGTAAACAGACAGACAGACAGATACAGACAGATAGTACATACAGACGAACAGACACAGACACAGACAGACAGACAGACAGACGAGTAAACAGACAGACAGACAGACAGACAGACAGACAGACAGACAGACACAGACAGACAGACAGACAGACGAGTAAAAAAGACAGACAGGACAGACGACGAGTAAACAGACAGACAGGACAGACAGACCGACGAGTAAAACAGACAGACAGGAAGGACAGACGAGTAAACAGACAGACAGACAGACAGACAGACAGACAGACAGACAGACAGACAGACAGACAGACGAGTAAACAGACAGACAGACAGACAGACGAGTAAACAGACAGACAGACAGACAGACCGACGAGTAAACAGACAGACAGACAGACAGAACGAGTAAACAGACAGACAGACAGACAGACCAGGAGTAACAGACAGACAGACAGACAGACTAAAAAACTAGGAGGCTTTAATAAGGCTCAACTAGCTTCACGAGGCTCCACCAAGGTATCAACTAGACTTAAGAGCTCCAGCAGGCTTCAGCAGGCTTCACGAGGCTCCACCAGGCTTCAGCAGGCTTCACGGGCTCCAGCAGGCTTCAGCAGGCTTCAGAGGCTCCACCAAGGTATCAACTAGACTTAAGAGTCCAGCAGGCTTCAGCAGGCTTCACGAGGCTCCACCAGGCTTCAGCAGGCTTCACGGGGCTCCAGCAGGCTTCACGATGCTCCACCAGGCTTCAGCCAGACTCAGAGCTTCACCAGACTTAGAGCTCCAGCAGAGCCACCAAGGCTTCACCAGGCTTCAGCAGGCTCCAGCAGGCTTCAGCAGGCTTCACGAGGCTCCAGCAGGCTTCACGATGCTCCACCAGGCTTCAGCCAGACTGAGCCACCAGACTTAGAGCTCCAGCAGGCTTCACCAAGGCTTCACCAGGCTTCAGCAGGCTCCAGCAGGCTTCAGCAGGCTTCACGAGGCTCCAGCAGGCTTCACGATGCTCCACCAGGCTTCAGCCAGACTCAGAGCTTCACTCAGACTTAGAGCTCCAGCAGGCTTCACCTGCACCACAGGCTTCAGCAGGCTCCAGCAGGCTTCAGCAGGCTTCACGAGGCTCCAGCAGGCTTCACGATGCTCCACCAGGCTTCAGCCAGACTCAGAGCTTCACCAGACTTAGAGCTCCAGCAGGCTTCACCAAGGCTTCACCAGGCTTCAGCAGGCTTCCTCAACAGCCGGATGGTACCATGAGTGTATCCAGCGCCTATCATGAAATATATGGCCGGATGGAGGCTGTGTAATATTGTCTCAGAGCCGATATATTGATGTGAGAGAGAGAGAGAGAGAGGAGAGAGGGAGAGAGAGGAGAGAGAGGAGGTGGGGGGTGGGAGAGAGAGAGAGAGGAGAGAGAGAGGTGGAGAGAGAGAGAGAGAGAGAGAGAGAGAGAGAGAGAGAGAGAGAGGTGGAGAGAGAGAGAGAGTGAGAGGAGGGTGGAGAGAGCAAAATATTTCACACATATTTCTCACCAAAGCCAGATCCCCATCCCACCTCCCTAACACCCCTAAGCCACATCCCAAGCCACCTCACTAAGCCACCTCACCAAGCCACCTCACCAAGCACCCCACACACCCACCACACCTCACCAAGCCACCTCACCAAGCCACCTCACCAAGCCACCTCACCAAGCCACCTCACCAAGCCACCTCACCAAGCCACCTCACCAAGCCACCTCACCACACCTCACCAAGGCACCTCACCAAGCCACCTCACCAACCTCACCAAGCCACCTCAAGCCACCTCACCTCCCTAAGATAAAAATATATGATCACCTGTGCCACCAGATGCCAACATATTCCTCCCCACAGTGCCACCTCCCCCCACAGTGCCACCACCCCACAGCCACCCCACAGTGCCACCTCCCCCACAGTGCCACCCACCTCCCACAGTGCCACTCCCCCCCACAGTGCCAACCCCCACAGTGCCACCTCCCCACAGTGCCACACCAGATGCCTGTACACCTCCCCCACAGTGCCACCCCCACAGTGCCACCACCCCCACAGTGCCACCTCCCCCACAGTGCCACCTCCTCCCACAGTGCCACCACCTCCCACAGTGCTACCTCCCCACAGTGCCACCTCCCCACAGTGCCACCACCCACAGTGCTACCTCCCACAGTGCCAACCCTCCCCACAGTGCCACCTCCCCCCAGTGCCACCAGATGCCTGTAACATATTCCCTCCACCACAGTGCCACACCCCACAGTGCCACCCCCCACAGTGCCACCTCCCCCCACAGTGCCACCACCTCCCACAGTGCCACCAGATGCCCAAAATACGCCCCTCCCCCACAGTGCCACCACCCCCACAGTGCTACCTCCCCACAGGTCCACCTCCCCACAGTGCCACCACCCTCCCACAGTGCCACCTTCCCACAGTGCCAACTCTCCCCACAGTGCCACCTCCCCCCACAGTGCCACCAGATGCCTGTAACATATTCCCACCACAGTGCCACCCCCCACAGTGCTACCTCCCCCACAGTGCTACCTCCCCCAGCGCCACCACCTCCCACAGTGCCACCAGATGCCTGTAACATATTCCTCCCCACAGTGCCACCACCCCACAGTGCCACCTCCCACAGTGCCACCTCCCCCACAGTGCCACCTCCCCACAGTGCCACCAGATGCCTGTAACATATTCCTCCCCACAGTGCCACCACCCCCACAGTGCTACCTCCCCCACAGTGCCACCTCCCCCCACAGTGCCACCACCCCTCCCACAGTGCCACCACGATGCCTGTAACATATTCCTCCACCACAGTGCCACCACCCCCACAGTGCTACCTCCCCCCACAGTGCCACCTCCCACAGTGCCACCACCTCCCACACAGTGCCACCAGATGCCTGTAACATATTCCTCCACCACAGTGCCACCTCCCCACAGTGCCACCACCCCACAGTGCCACCACCCTCACAGTGCCACCTCCCACCACAGTGCCACCACCTCCCCACAGTGCTACCTCCACAGCACACCAGATGCCTGTAACATATTCCTCCACCACAGTGCCACCTCCCCACAGTGCCACCACCCTCACAGTGCCACCTCCCCCACCACAAGTGCCACCACCTCCCACAGTGCCATCCCCACAGTGCCACTCTCCACAGTGCCACCTCCCCAAGCCACAAGATGCCTGTACATATCTCTCCACCACAGTGCCACCACCCCACAGTGCTACCCTCCCCACAGTGCCAATCCCACAGTGCCACCTCCCCACAGTGCCACCAGATGCCTGTAACATATTCCTCCCCACAGTGCCACCTCCCCACAGTGCCACACCCCACAGTGCCACCTCCCCACAGTGCCACCCTCCCCCACAGTGCCACCACCCCACAGTGCTACCTCCCCCACAGTGCCAACCTCCCACAGTGCCACCTCCCCCCACAGTGCCACCAGATGCCTGTAACATATCCCTCCACCACAGTGCCACCACCCCCACAGTGCTACCTCCCCCACAGTGCCACCTCCCACAGTGCCACCTCCCCCAGTGCCACTAGATGCCTGTAACATATTCTCCCCACAGTGCCCACCACCCCCACAGTGCCACCCACCCCACAGTGTCACCCACCTCCACAGTGCCACCACCCCACAATGCCACCACCCCAGTGCGTCCATCCACCCCACAGTGCCACCCACCCCACAGCCACCCACCCACAGTGCCACCACCCACAGTGCCACCACCCCCACAGTGCCACCCACCCCACAGCCACCCACCCCACAGTGCCACCCACCCCCACAGTGTCACCCACCCCCAGTGCCACCCACCCCCACAGTGCCACCCACCCTCACAGTAGCCACCTCACCACAGTGCCACCACCCCCACAGTGCCACCCACCCAAGTGCCACCACACCCCACAATGCCACCTACCCACAGTGCCACCCACACCCCACAGTGCCACCCCCACAGTACCACCTCCCCACAGTGCCACCCACCCCACAGTGCCACCACCCCCACAATGGCATCACCCCAGTGCCACCCACCCACAGTGCCACCCACCCATAGTACCACCCACCCCACAGTGCCACCACCACAGTGCAACCCACACCACCCCCAACAGTGCCACCCCACTTACAGTACCACCCACCCCACAGTGCCACCACCCCACAGTGCAACCCACCCCACAGTGCCACCACCCCACAGTGCCACCCACCCCCACAGTGCCACCCACCCCCACAGTGCCCCACACTCTCAGCACTTCGGTTCTAAATGATAAAATGAATGAGTTCAGATCCTTTTTTAACACAACTTGATTTAATTTCTCGTAAAGGATGATGATGAAACTCGGGCTTAGCCGATAGGTTAGGTTAGGTTATTGGTGGGTTAGTTGATATTGGTAGGTTAGGTTTGATATTGGTGGTTAGATTATGGATTTTGCTGGGTTAGGTTGGATTTTGCTGATATTGGTTGGGTTAGGTTGGATTTTGGTGATTTTGTGTTAGTGGATTTTGGTTGGATTGTTGGGTTAGGTTGGATTTGGTGATTTGATTGGGTATGATTTGGATTTGGGTTGGTTCAGATTTGGTTGAGTTAGGTTGAGGTTAATGTTAGGTTGGGTTGGGTTGTCTAGCCTCATCTAACCTAACCTATCCTTGTACCAACGAATGCTTTCACACACACACACACACACACACACACACACACACACACACACACCACACACACGCACACACACACACACACACACACATAATTTAGTGTGTTATATCCGTCTGTTGCCTCATGACTGTATGTAAATGACCCGGGGAGATGGACAAAGTAATGCGGAATTGTAGTTATTTTGTAGCAGAGGGAAGTGGCACTGTGGGGGAAGTGGCACTGTGGGGTAGGTGGCACTGGGGGAAGTGGCACTGTGGGGAAGGGCACTGTGGGGAGGTAGTGGGGAAGTGGCACTGTGGGGTAGGTGGCACTGTGGGGAAGCGGCACTGTGGGGTGGTGGCACTGTGGGGAGGTTAGTTGGTAGGTCAGGTTAGGTTAGGTAGATTAGGAGGTTAGATTAGCTTAGGTTTGCTGGGTTGTTAGGTCAGGTCAGGTGCGTAAAGTCATCCGGTTAGGTCAGATCAAAGGTCATCCGGTTAGGTCAGGTCAGGTCATGTAAGTCATCCGGTTAGGTCAGGTCAGGTAAGGTCATCCGGTTAGGTCAGGTCAGGTCATGTCAGGTCATCAGGTTAGGTCAGGTCAGGTTAGGTTGACCATTAACGTTTCTATATCCACTAAAAACGTCTACAATACAGTGTAGAAACGTTTATACCTGAGTGGAAATATTACTGTTAGGGTTAGGTTAGGTTAGGTTAGGGTTAGGTTAGGTTAGGTTAGGTTAGGTTAGGTTAGGTTAGGTCAGGTTAGGTTGACCATTAACGTTTCTATATCCACTAAAAACGTCTAAAATACAGTGATGAAACGTTTATACCTGAGTGGAAATATTTCTGGTTAGGTTAGGTTAGGTCAGGTCAGGTTAGGTTGACCATTAACGTTTCTATATCCACTAAAAACGTCTAAAATACAGTGAAGAAACGTTTATACCTGAGTGGAAATATTTCTGGTTACAAAACAATGTTACAGAAAATCGTCTCTTGTGTTGCCTAAAGAGACCCGAACGATAAGTGGCGACAAGAGAGCTGTAGGCTACAAAATATTGGATACTGTATCATCTGGCTGTAGTTTATGTACCAGGTCTTATAACGTTTAGGTCTGTAACGAGGAAAGTATAAAAACTACAAAATATATACAGTGTAGTAGTTATGAGAACGATTAGGTGTATGACGATCACTTCAGAATATACAAAAAAATACACTGTAGCAAATATTACATAACATTACAGTCTTAAAACAGTTCTGTATTCAACCCAAAACTGTAGAATACAAAATAAACGTTCTTGTAGTTATTGTGTGGCTGTATCAAGATCACTACAGAATACAAAATACACTGTAGCAAATATCACATAACAAGTCTTAAACAGTTCTGTATTTAACCAAAACTGTAGAATACAAAATAAA